CGGTGTTCCTTTATTAGGTCCATTAATTCCACTTTAAGCATCTCCTCAGTAAATGTTATTGCTTTATCCCGCAGCCAGGTTTACATATTCGCTTTCCTACTGGACATTATCGGAATGCGTTCAACTCGTCGACTGTGATAAGAAGCGTTATCTAGTATAATAACTGAATTTCATGTCCTCTTGGTAGTCTTCTGTTTTTTTCGATATAAACACAAGAGCACAATTTTCCAAAAATTCTCTGTCACTTCCGATATGGGTAACAATTAGGCGTTGTTCTTTACCTAATGGTGCTTTCAAACATGTAGATAATCCCTCTATAAAAGCTTGGCGATGACTAGTTATAAAAGTATCTTGCCATATCTTAGATACCGTGTGTCCAGCATTCACCCACGTTTCATCGAGATAGTATATCTTTTTTTTAGCGGCTCTAAACTCTTTAATATTTCGTAAATAACACCGTCGCCAGGATGGCTTCTTAGGGGCCTTTTTTTGTCTTTTCACGTACAATACGTTCAATTGTTGAAACAGATACTCCAGTTAAAAAGAACTGCGGTTTACAGCTTCATTTGTAGGAAGTGTCTGTCAGCCTATCATACACTTTCCATATAATGTTCTTTTCATCCTTTGATAAGGGCTTTCACCGACGTAATTGGGTTTCACTTGGACCCGCCTCTGAATCCATTACTATTGTAACAATATAATTCTACTATTAAATTGTTTTTATTAAACTTATAAAGACACCAATATTTTACTATTTAATAAACTTTTAAAGTACCTACCTAATATACTACACAATAAATATAACTCCTCGAATATGCACTACTACCAGGGGGGGATATCGCGCATGGTGTCATGGCGGCGCTGACGTCATGCGTAGAGGTAGTAGAGTTGGCACAAAATAAATAACATATGATAAACGTACGTTGCAGTGGTTTGTAAGTTGTTTATGGTGATTTATAACATAACATTTTAGGCGGATATTTATATTATTTTATGTTTGAAATTTTGTTCTCTGTAATAGTAGTGAAAAACATTAATAAATCGGGTATGCAATTTACGGATATAATAGTAACAATCAAAGCAAAAGATTTAAAAAAGATATTGTTTTTCTTTCTTTCCTCGACAGTAAGAGGTTATTTAGAAGTGGGCCAAGGGCTACTTCAGTGGGGTCTCAAGGGGTCACATATAAAATTCTATAAGCCTTTTATTAAAAAAATATAAATATACTAAAAGGGGAATTGTTATAGGCAATGCTCCCCGAAATTTTGAGCTGGAGCCGTCTTTCTTGTGTGTTTCAAGCTCTTTTAACTTTCCAATAATTATAATAGGGACCTTAAAACAGAACTTCACATTGGTTCATTTGCAACTCGGGACTTCTTAACTGGGGGCTTTACCCTTTGGCTGAACATTTCGTAATATACAGCAAAGGTGAAATTGTATGGGTCGCAAAAAAAGAAAATTTCGACATGTTGTACTTGATGGAAGAATTAAAACCATAGATATATAACCAAGACAGATAGGATTATTTACAAAAATTTTGAAGAATGAACGGTGGTGTCCGCGGTAGAAACTCAATAATCGGATTGAACATTGATGCCAAGTTTACGTGCTTTTAACTATATAACCAATACAGATTACACAATTTCTGAAGTCAACGCGGATGATCCTCGACAGAAATGCTATATTTGGATAAAATTAAAATATTGATGTCAAGTTTGCGATGTTTTTAACTGTAGTAATGTTATTGCGTTTGCTTAAATTACTGTTAGGTCTTTAAATTGTCAAAAAAAAAAAAATAATGTCTGACAACAGCGGAAGTAGAGTAGGCCACAATTGTGGAGGGTCGTATATTGTTTCATTCATAAAAATTCCTTCGATACAGTACTAGTCCAGGAGCCAGTGAATTTTTTCGTACTTGTTTTCCCGGTCCGTGTATATTTAAATAATCTATTCCCAGTGAACTGTATATTTAAAATGGAACGCCAATCTATTAACAAAAGTAAGCCAGATTGAATTCGCGCATTACGTCACATCGATACAAGTGAGATTGTTTACAAAGTGCCTTTGCAGGCCTATTTTGCCCATTTCATGTATTTGTTTTTAAATCATGTTAAATTACTATTTTTGAAACTCAACAAGGAGAAAATCCAATTAACTCTTCCGTTGTGTATAAAAAAAAGATAAATTAACTGAAGTTTTATTAGTAAAGTATTAATACTAAAATTTTAATGTAATTTACAGAAAATAGCTAGGTATGTATTTGTTTTTAAATAATTTGATAATTTATGAAAAAAGGGAGTAAACGTGGAATGACCCATGGCCAGTAGGTCAGTCAATACAAAGTATCATATATTTCTATTATAACATAACTAAAATACTTACATCTTTTAATCATAAGGACATAAGTTAAAAACCATTTTAATATATGCATTAGAATGAAGTAATAATAACTTAAAGAGACGAGGTCTTAAAGTAATAGCTGGTACAGCATGTTTTTTAAATGTTTCCTCATTGCTGCTAGAATGAAATCACTTACTATGAAATGTGCTCTAAAAACGGCATTTATAGCAGTCAGTGTTCAGTCTTAGGATCTCTTCCTAAAGCCCTCATCCAAGCTGCATACATATTAAAAAATAATTTAAAAAAAACATATTATATACCTATATAGTTTTCTGTTCTGGGTGCCCTAAAAGAGGACACTTAGCCGACAATTTGGCTCAGATAGCTAAAACCCAAAAGTCACACTCCGAACCAGGACGTATTGCTATCCTTTTAAGTAAAAAATAACTACAAATAACTTACCTGAAAAATGAAGGCGTCTAACTTTACACCAAAAAAACCATACACTTTTTCCCATTGTTGCAAGCACCCGATGACGATTAGGTAGATATCAACTAGAAGCATGTACTTAATGGTTATAAAGCTTATTTTAACACAAAAAGAATAAAGCACTAGTCGAAAAGCAGCAATCAAATATAAATAGACCACAATATTAAAATTCAAATTAAAAACTATATAAAAGACAAATACTCTAAAAGCGCAAAAGATCAGAACCAAATAAATAACCATAATAACCTAAAAATCACACTAAAATTGCAAAAACTATTACTGTAAAATCATGAGATTACATCAATAATGCATATGCGTCGGAGTATCGCAAATGTCAAAAGTACAGTGTTTCCATGAAAATTTAGCTGTTTTTAGCAGTATTATAGGACCACGCGCATCCAACGATATTGGCGTTCCACAGTTCACTGTATTTTCCTCACACCTTTAGTATAAATGATTTGACATAACGAAACTAACAATAATTATAATTAATGTTATATATTAATGTAGTAATAAGTGATTCGTGAATTCTAAATAAAACAATTATTATATAAAAGTGTAAAAGAAAATGTAATTTATTTCCCTATTTTCTTCTGTAATATATTCAATTATTATGTTTAATTTCTATAAATAAACCAACTGGTTAGGTGAAACATTGTGATATAAGATTTTATTTATGTGTCCTATGCGTACACTTTAATATACAAAACACCTGGAACATTCTTTAAATAATTGTGGTCGTAGAAATAATTGTGTACATAACTCGTTTGAAAGTGTATTTTATGCACTTGCCAAATATATTATCCATACAGATTAATCAGACTATTTTTTTACTTAACTTCAGTACATCTCTTACTACTAAAACTATTTTTATCAATGGAAAAAAAGGGCCGTGTTCTCGTATGTTTTGACGCATTTTTGGCCTCAGCCCATCGGATCCCCCCTCTAAATATATATGAATTTTGCTTAGAATTGCTAATCCTAAAATTCTCTATTCGTGCTTGCTGACTGGGAAAATAAATACCGAAAATCGTCACTGTCTCCTGGACTATACAATAGATGATGATGAGAACTTCACAACAAATACACTTTTATGAATGGCTAGTTGGGGATGTGATTAAAACCCTGTCAGTGACTATGTCCAGGAAAAATGTATTGACTATTTATTTTAATTTTGTATATAAACCCACAATGTAGCCGTTATTTGTATTTGGTACATTATTTTTATGTACCTATTTTTGGTATTTTACTTATATCCCATCTTCTCCATAAAATAAGTAGTTAAATATATTCAATTGGGTAATCTACTGCAGGTAAATGAGTCACCAGTTGCGAATCTTAAACAGCTAAAAATTACCAGCTTCCCAGGATGCGAAATTTTTACCCAGGGTCCCCAGTTGAAGAGTTTCGAGTTATGAAGATAAAAAGTATTCTTTAGAAGTTGTTGCTCTGTTCCATAATAATATCTTTAGATATTTTATCTAGTTTGTAAAATATTACCCTTTAGTATTCATGATATTTTTGTAAATAGCGAATATTTTCGTCACACTTTGTCAGTATTTTTAAATTGGCGCCTATACAAACTCTACGCGTGACGTCATGCGCGTGACCTACCTATTTTTAACACAGTTGATATCCTACCTTTTATTTTTTATACCAAGCACTACTACTACCACCAAATTGTAAGGCACAAACATGAACACCTACTCGTATATCAGAAAAGAGCACTTATACAAAAAAGTGTTTTTAAAATATAAAATAATTATCGTAAATAGTTAAAGCGATACAAATCTAACTTCGTCGAAAGTTAGTTTTCAACTGTCTTTGTGCCTGTGCTGGCAATATTCAATCTGTAACCCGTCTGTCGTTTATTTACTTGAAACACATTTTAAAACCATTAAACACAGATAACGAAGTCATTAGGTAATAAATATATATATTTCTTGAAAACTATCAAAAACGTATATTTAACACATCATCTTTGTTTAAATAAAGATTTTGACAAACAAATTTAATAAAGTTTACTAACAAATACCTAATAAATAATTATTTGGTATTTGATACGCCGCCTATGTCCGAGTATAGGTATAACGAAAACAAAAAACAATTTGAGAATTTTGTAATTGGAATAAAACCTGCAATTATGATGGTTTAAAGAATAACGTTTACAGGCACCAGATGAGGATGCATTGACTCTCGCTCAAGGGTTGAAGTCTGTGATGGAAAAACAAGGGGCTGTATTAAATGAGCCTTTAAAACTGGAGACGTATACATCTCCTAATTTTATGGGTTTTTTTGTAGTCGAAGAACATGCTGATTATTTAAAGCGAATAGCAATGCAATATGTTAAAGAGGTTTCAAATGCTAGTAAGTATTTATTTATTCCTTTGAAAATTAGATTATAATAAAAACATTAATTGCATGTATTAAATTATTAGGTATTCTAGACTAAGAATTTTATATAATTATTTTTATAGCCAGGGACTACAGAATAAAATACGAAATAAATATGTTTATAATTTTAAATTTAAGTACTGAGAAAATATACCTTGATATAATGTACCTACTAGATATGTCTTAAAAACTTGATAGTTCATTCCGTTCTGTTTAATTTTATTAAAGTAGTTTTTAAGTAGGCATTAGATTTACTTTATTAATTTTTAGGCGATTACCTACTTACAACATAAAATAATAATTATTAATATTGTAGTTATCAGTGATACTTATGAACACTTCGATGCATTGACAGCTTGTTTCCCTTGGTGCACTACTACTACCGCAAGGTGTATACCTAGAGGAAGCAGATGTAAGCCTAAGTACATGCCTACATGTTTGCTTTTTTTTTTTTGATCAGTTAAATTAAGTTTAATTTTATTTTTACTGTTTAGAGAGCATGACCATTTTCTATTCTCTTTTGATTCATCGTATAGTTACATATATTTAAAAATTTAGATAAAGAAATCGTTTATCTATCTATATTAGGTATTTCATTGTAGGCTTTGGTTTATTTTTTATTTGCTTTCTTTTTATTAGGTACATCTTGATTTTTTTATTCACAAGAAGTTGCTGTTTATTTTATTTATTTGATGTAATAGAGAATATATCTGTTTAGCACTTTCTTTGATTAAAAAACTATATGCCACACCTTCATTCAACAGATGTTGTTAATATTTAATTTTTTTAAATACTGATTTAATTTTTATCGTACAGAAAACTTAATTTCTTTAATTTTTTCACTGTTTGCAGAAAATATATTTCTTAGAAAAATTACCAGTCATTTTAAACACTACCATTCGTTTATCACTTAGATAAAAGAGACCAGAGATATAACATACACCGGTTTTAAACCTGCGCAAATGTTGCCAATTTCTAAAGAAGGGTTAACGGAGTGGGGGAACTGGGCGGCGACACGCGGCGACCCGAACTCTGTGACAGGGACCGGACTTTGTTTATTAGCATCTTTATGAACTATTAGGTTTATTTAAAAGGTGTTTAATCGAATTTTGTATTATGAAATAAAATTAACGTGATTTTTTAATATCAAACAGATGCCACGACATTTTATGTAAAGAGAAAACCTTTTATAGAATATTTCGTTAGCGTTTATTTACTACGGACTTTTCTGCAAGAGATTACAGTAAAATGTTGAAATAGAATATATTGTTAATAGAGCAAAAAATGTTACTGATTGTCTACGAGTATTATAAAAATAGCATGTGCACAGGCTAATACTGCAAATCTACCCTTATGAGTTGAACATTATATTTTTTCTACGGCTATTACATATTATTAAAAATTAGTCAAAATGAGAAAATGCTGTTTTGTATTGTAACCTCAGAAAAAAGTATATTAAGGCTACTTTCTTTAAGAATATTAATTATTATAAAGGATGAGTCACATAAAACTCTAGAAATGCATATGTCTGAAACCAGATAACATTTTAAAATTTAAATCTATTAAAAGTCATTTGGTCGCTAGGGATGAGTGATTATCGAAATAAATTATCGATCATTGAAAATAATCGATTATTTTCGATCAATAGATTATTTTCAAACAATATATTTTTTGTCATTTCCTTTAAAATCGACTACTTGATTATCTTTGAAAAATCAAAAATAATCGATTAATTAAAAAGCCAATTAACCGATAAATCAGTGTTTACAAAATATAATATAAATAGAATTATCGTTTATTTTAAATAATCGATTATTTTCAAATAAACCATTTTTTTTTGTCCATGGAAACAGATTATTCGATAATCTTTGAAAAATCGAAAATAATCGATTAATCAAAAATAATCGATTAATTAAAAAGTCGATTAACTGATAAATCGATTTAAAAAAAACAGAATGGTCGATTATTTTAAATAATTAATTATTTTCGATCAATCGATTATTATCAATAATCTATTTTTATTGTATTTCCTTTAAAATCGTTAATTCGATTATCTTTAAAATACCGAAAATAATCGATAATTCCAAAATAATCGCCTAATCGAAAATAATCAATTAATTAAGAAGCCGATTCTATGATAAATCGATTATTACCAATAATCTATTTTATTGTATTTCAAAAATAATCGTTTAATTAAAAAGTCGATTAACTGACAAATCGATTTTCAAAAAAAAAACAGAATGATCGATTATTTTAAATAATCGATAATTTTCGATCAATCGATTATTATCAATAATATATTTTTATTGTATTTCCTTTAAAATCGATAATTCGATTATCTTTGAAATACCAAAAATAATCAATAATTCCAAAATAATCGCCTAATCGAAAATAACCAATTAATTAAGAAGCCGATTCTATGATAAATCGATTTTCCAAAAAATAAAACGAATTATCTACTATTTTCTAATAATCCTTTTTTCATATTTCCTTTTATTTGAAATTGATTATTCGATTATCGAAAATAATTGATTATTAAAAAGCTGATTATCCAATAAATCGATAATTTTAAAAAAATAATCAAAATATCGATTATGTAAAATAACCGATTATATCCAATCGATTATTTTCATATAATATCTTTGAAAAATCGAAAATAATCAAATAATTAAAAAACCGATTAAACGATAAATCGATTATTTTGAATAAATCTACTTTTTTTGTATTTCCTTTAAAATCGATTAATACATTATCTTAAAAAAAACGAAAATAATTTATTAAAAACAGCGGATAAATCGATTTTCATTAAAAAATATCAGAATTATCGATAAATCGATTATTTTTGTGACCCCTATCGGTCGCTTGCTTTTATCTGAGCATTTAGCTCCAAAATTTAGAGATTCGGATTTTTTGATCCAGTTATCTTTGAAATCGCATTCGATTGTATAATAAATAAATATTGCTAAATTTTGTATTTTTTTTAGTAAACGAAAATTATGTTCGAGTTGTTTAGGGGTTTGTAATGTAACATTTTATTAACGTGACTAAGGGTCGATTCCACCGTTGTGTTAAACGAAGTTTAAAATGACATTTTTACATTAACACTGTCATTTTAATCTCCGTTTAACACAACGGTGGAATCGGACCTAACTCCTGTAACTTTAGTATTTTTTTTTGCTTATACTAGATTATTTTGTTTTGAGACTTAAAATTCAATGTCACTTTCGATTTGACCGCAAATAAGATGAACCTTGAAATTTTAAGTAGGTCATCCTGTATTTCATCTAATATTCTTATAAAAATACCTTATAAAAATAAAATTTAGCTAGCAACTATGATTCTTTACCTCTTATTTATCTACCAAAAAAGGCTAAAAACTACCTTTAGAAAACATTCTTATAAAACTACTTTTTAAATACAAAATTTCGTTAGCAATAATGCCTATTTACTATTTATTTAAATTAAATGTTCAAAATTTTACCCTTTTGTAAATTTATGTAAGTAATATGAAATCTGATTTCTGATGCTTAATATTTATTGAAACCCCTTAATGCGGATCTGAAGTATTCAGCCCAGAGAATCATGGCGCTTTATGTCAAAACGTTAATAAATATTTACCGCTGAAAACGAATATATTCATAACAGTAGTACTTGTATTATAAGTACATACAATTTTTCAAGATACATCGTGACATTTTGAACTTGAAATTGAATAACTAGAACACTTTAAATTGCTAAAATACCAACAAATAAATCAAAAAACAGCTGCCAATGGTGATTAAACTCAGGTGGAGGTGATCGCTGAATGGAAATCGGAGCAATTCGGGTGGCGTCGTGCAACAATGATTTTCAATTGGTGGGTTACTTTGGCTTAAAATAGACAACATGCGCAATGTGCAATGTTACATCTTCGGTCTCTTTAATCTAAGGTTTATCATTCACCATATTTTGTTTTAATATTCTGTGAAGTAATAGACACAATAGTCACCTATAAATGAGCTGATTTTTTACTGATGACAGATTTGGTGTACATTCTCCTCTTGAAGACCAGATTTATTATTTACAGTGCATCTAAAACGCTCACCATTGCTTTTTTATGTTTTTTTTATCATCTCTTTATGATTGATTACTTTAAGGCTGATTTTTCGTTTGTGATAAAGTGCCCTACTGGGTTCCGGTCATGTCTTGTTATCTAGAACCGGCAATATACAGTGAGGACGTATAGATTCGAATAAATTCGATATTTTTCTGTATTGACAGTATTTTAACAAAATGTTTTCACAGGTCAATTTTTATTTTGAATTACGCATTTTATGCTATAATTGGACGTAATAATGACGTCACCACTTTTGTGTACATGACATCATTTTTTTTTTTAAATAGAACAACATATTTTTCTCTCCATTTTTTAATTCCCCAATAATAGACTACAAAAATGTTTGTAATCCTTATTGGTTTGTGCATTCGAGGTAAATGTTATATCAGAAATTTTGAATCCAAATTTTTATTGAAAGGACGACTAATTATTTTCGATACAGTAGATTGACAAATAGAACGATCTCGTTATTCCATAAATCACAAATCTCCTTTTGGGGTCAAGACTGGTTACCTTACCCACACAATATTAAAATTTCAATTATATTCCACGCCTTGTTTTCAATGATCATAGGTAGTACCCCCTTTTCCCGCTCTGTGGCCACACAAAGTCTAAATACTCTCAAAAGTATTTAGAAAGTTCCAAAATAACAACTGGTAGTGCTAATCCTTCCCACCTCTGCTTCCGTTAAGTCATACTCAAATACACTCTTACGTCATTCTTTTTCTTTTCGTGCGCAAGCGGTTAAAAGAAAATAATTTGTTTTCTTTATTATCAAAAATACGTAAATGGGTAAATCAAAGAAGAACATTTTTATATAATTTTATATATATTCGGAAACATATAAATAAACTATCTAATTAGGCATTCCAACGACCTGTCAAACAATAGGTGCCAGTGGGAAATTCTTGTATATTTAAGGGGGTAGCGACATAGTCTTGCAACTTGGACGCTATTTTTATTCGAAGTAGTACTCGCCAAGCCTGCCAATTTATGAAGAAATGTATAGGTAGGTTTTTTAAATATTATTTTTATTGTGTTTGACATAAAGTATTTAAATGTAATCCATTATTCATGATTTTACGTAAAGTAGATAGAATACACCATATGTCGCCACCCTTAGATATACCAAACCTGCCCACTGGTAATTCATTTGTTTGGAATGCCTAATTGTTTTATTAAAACATTCACCTTACATGAAGAACTGTCATGTGTCATGTCAATCAGTGCTGTGATGTCACAACATGTTTTAAGAACCAAATTCCTTAAAATTTACCAGAAAACAAAAATGACAACAATTTTACTCTCTACACACCGGAGTACTAGATTTAGCTATGAGGGTAGTAAAGTACTAGATTCTTTAAGAATGTACTAGTTCTAGTACAATAGTACTAGACTGGTAACACGGATGTCAATAGAGGAAAGGGCGCAATAAACCTATATCCGAATGACGTTTCTTTTTGTTAGTGGCTGTCTATGGTGGCTGTTGGGTAGCCTCTCCGTACATATTTCTATGTATCATAGGTATATAACAGTTATATAAATAGGATGACTTAATACCTGAGGATCTATGTAGATTTTTTTCAGTTTATTATACTTTTCGCTTAAAGCTCGTTGCCTAATTATATCATGAATGGTAATATTACCCAAACCTATCAGGGGGATGAAATTATTATCTAGATAATTATTTAGATAACCTTATAGAAATGTGTGTAGTTTTAAATTTTTAATGTCTAATTATAAGCTGTCAAGAATTGTAATATTACCCAAAATTATCTTATTAGATAAGTAACTTTATACTATACAAGGGTGTAGTTTGAAATTCTTACTCCGGGGATGGAATTATTGATGTATTTATTAAAAAATGTAACAAACTAGATTTCTTACGATTTTTTATTCAAAAAATTATGTTAAAAAGAAAATATTTAAAGGCGATGTTTGAATAATTTGTATGCCGGGTTTCTTTGATCTGCTAACATTAGCAGAGTAGGAAAAAAGGAGACGCTGGTGCCTTATATAGAAAGGAGGCTCGAAAGATTTGATATGAAGGCTTTCCGATGTGCTTGATCTAAAGGCTCCAAGATATATTCGCCTAGCAGTGTTAGGTATTGAATTGGGGGATTTTAGATTGGATTTGGAGGCAGACATGTAAAGTATGCTACCATAATCTATTCTGGATCTAATTATCGACTTGTAGATTTTAAGAAGAACTTGCTTATTAGGAGATTTTAGGATATTTATCCTTTTTAAATAGTTGCCCTTCGTTTTTTGTATAATTATGATGTCTCCATGTGAGCCTTTTTTTGTGATGATCAACAACTTGTAAACGAACTCAATTCAAATTTATGGATGTTTTGTCTTCTTGTAAATTGGATGATTTTGGATTTGGAAGGTGACAGCTAGAATCCTGTTCTTGTGGTTCTCTGAAAAGTGTTGTCTAGAGCTTTTTGGAGTAAGGTGCATGTACTTCCGGTGTACCTTCCTTGGCAGAAAAGGATTAGGTCATCAGCGTACATTGAATATTGTACTGGGCGTAGCACACAGTAGCATATGTCGTTCATAGCGAGAAGGAATAGGGTGGTGATAATGACTGAGCCTTGCGGTACCCCATTTTGAATATATACTGCGTCAGATATTTTTTCCACTTGTAGAAACTTTAAGAGTCCTGTCGGTAAAAAAGTTTTGGAAGAATGAGAAAGCGTTTCCCATGATATTTATTTATTTTAGTCTCTCAAGAATAGCTGGTCTCCAGGTGGTGTCAAAGGCACTTTCAATATCAAGCGTTATGACGATGATGTCATTTCGGTCTTTTCTGATTGGAAAACGACAGAGTACATGTCAATTAAATAGGGCTTATTGCACTTCGATGGGAGGGTGGTTTGTCGTTCTTTTTGATAGAGGGATGACGATTGATTGGCGCCATATTATTGGAAACTGTTGACTAGACTATATTTTGTCATAGAGTTCTAGCAGTTTTGAGAGTTCCTGGATGGATATCTTTGAGGAATGTTGATGGAATGTGGTCATGGACTGCGGCTGAGTTTTTCGAAGATAAAAGAGCAGTATGGAGTTCTGTGTATGTAAAGAGTAAATTGATTGGATCGGAGTTATGTGGGGGCGATTGTGCGTGTGTGGGGTGGGGTATTTGGAGAGATATTGTTGGATTGAGATTTTTTTATAGTACGCTAGGATATTGGCAACATCTTGGTCGTCTGTAACTATTTTTTATGGTGAATGAGGACCGGGATTTTGTTACTAGTTTTACGTCCACGCATTTCCTTCATATTGGTTTAAACTTGAGTGGCAGGGGTGCTGGGCGTCATTGTGCTGACAAATTTGTTCTAGGAGTTTTGTTCTCTTTAGGATGCGTTTTGAAATGGATTTCAGTTTTTTTTTAATTTAATTAAGACATGTTCACGAAAAATTAACAGAAAAATATGTTGTTCTATTTTAAAAAAAATCCATGACGGCGACAATGTGTTAAAATTAATTAATTACTCTTGATTACATAAGAATTAATTAACAAATTTTTGTCAGTTTATTATAAAATGTTGTGACCTCAAAAAGTTCGTCAAATACCTTGAGCCGTTTAAAAGTTATAATCATATAAAATAGGCGGTGAAAATATGGTTCACTAGGTATTTTCTTAAGATTATAATGTAGTAAACACAAAATTAATATGAAATAATGACATGGCCGGAACATAATAAAGACACAGTCAGCTCACTATAACCAAATGACTAACATTATCTGTCTGAACATTATTGGCTTATTCTTTTAAGAATTTCCTTATAATTCTTAAATTGATCATCAATTTCATTTGCACGAGCTTGTTTCTCATTCTCTAATTTTACTTTAAATATCGAATAACCAAATTTGTGAGAATTAGTCAAATTTTCCATTTAAAAAAATTATTAAACTTATTAGTTCAAATTAATTATTAAAGCTTTATTGAAGAAAGTACACAACAGACAATATTTATTTCTCAACTAGTTTTTAGTATTCTCTCGTTTCAGCCATAAGTTTAGAGCCACACGTAAAGTCTCTGCATTTAACCTTAGCCTACCAATTTCCAAATTCTCAATATTCCAATTTGAAGTCATTAATAGAAGAATTGGATCCTGGCGCTTCGGGGGGATGGGAACTAAGATTGTATTCCAGGGATCCTAGGATTAATGGGAAACAAATTCACAAGGTAGTATTTTTGTGCTTTTGATAAAACTAAAAAGCAGATGTAATTAAAACAATCCCATATTGAAAATATTCTAAAAAGGTCACTCAGTATTTTTAGTGTCTTTTTATTTAAAGCAATAACTCCACTAAATCGTGATATTTTTACAGAGATTTCCTTAAATACAACCGAAAATATGATCTTGAACTTGGGAATTTTTCATTATCAGTCATTGGATATTTACTTTTTACCTTTAAAAATACTTATTGTGAGATAAGGTAATCAAATTTCAAATAAAAATATTTTTTTCCTGATCGCAAAGCCTATTTACTTTGTCCGGCATATAAATAACTAAGCGATAGGAAGTTTTATGTACTGTACCTACCAGACAAAACAGATAATCTGTAAGTACATTTTATTCGTTTTCTATTAAGATTAATTTAGGTTTCATATGATAGTGAGTGGGGATTTCAGTTTTTTTAGGGGTTAACTCGTAAGTTTGTAATTTTTATACATATAGGGTGGGCCATTAGTGGGTGGAAGTCCAATATCTCGAGAAAATGTCAAATACACAGCTCACAAAGGTGCAAGGCAACATAAAATAATTTTTTTCAAATCTATTTTATTTTTGAACTCTAGTAAACATTTTTTGTCTAAACACCATGTGTCTAAATTAAATTGTTTTCAAGTTTCTGACATTTAAAAATTGACTTTTTCATACTTTGACAAGCACCTACATAGTTGAAGTTAGAGTAAAACAGTTTACATGTCACACTATCTTAGTTTTTTACGTCCTATCCAGATATGCCAACTTAACTAAATCCAACTTCTGGTTAAATCGGAAGTGGGTTATTTTATTGCATATTTGTATAAAGCACAAAAAATTAAGATAGAGACATGTAAACCGTTTTACCCTAATTTCAACCGTGAGGGTATTACATCTTGTGAAAGTGTGAAAAAGTCAATTTTTGAATGTCAAAAGCTTGAAAACAATTGAATTTAGACATAATATGGTGTTTCAGACAAACATACTTAGATATTTTTTTACTAGAATTAAAAAAAAATAGTGTTTTTTGTAAAAATAAATTTTATGTTGTCTTGCATTTTAAGGGCACCCTGTATATTGGAAAATATTTTTACAATAGGCATCTTTGTGAACTGTAAAACTTTTGTATATGACATTTTTTCGTATTTTCAAACACAACCGTGATATTGGACTTTCACACACTAACGGATCACCCTGTATGTATTGTCATGTCTATTATACAGGGCGGGCCACCGGTAACGCCTCGATCTGTGGAAAAACTATATGATTTTTAAAATGTTTTCACGAGAATAAGTATATCAGAAAAGACAACAATTTAAAAATAATTTCAATTGTACAGGGTTCTCCAAGAAAGTGATACATATGAAAATTAGGTTTTTTTATTTTATATTTGAATTGCCCTCGTTTTTATTATTGTAACAATACCAAATAGTATGAAATAATCCATGGTATTTCAAACGCTATAACCAGTTTTATACAGTATGGTTCAAATGAAAGGAATAAATTCATTATAATGGAAGTAGTTGGTTTTTCGAAAAAATGCTCGGACAGGTAAATTTTGTTTACTTAAAGCGCAATTTTTTAAATAGAATTCAATTTTCCCCCACTTCCCATTTTTGGTCAGTGACGTCATTGACAATTTTTTTAAATAGTAACCCCATTTTTTTTTTCTAGATTTTGACAGATCTTGCAATTTCCTACTCGGAAACATAATATTTGTAATATCTGACAACAATTTTTTTTTAATAAAAGTCATTTAAAGATCAGATACATAAATTTTATTTTATTTTGAAACACAATAAATGAATAAAAGATTATTTGTAATTAAGTGATTTATCTAAAAAAATAATAATAATAATAACAAAAAGAATTTTTCACAAATTCTTTTTTATTATTATTATTATTATTGTTATTAATATTATTATTATTATTATTTTGTTAGATTAAACACTTAATTACAAATAATTATCTTTTATTCATTTATTGAGTTCTCAAAATAAAATAAAATTTATGTGTCTGATCTTTAAATGACTTTTATTCAAAAAAAAAATTGTTATGTAAGATATTTCAAATATTATGTTTCCGAGTAGGAAATTGCAAGATCTAACAAAATCAAGAAAAAAAAATTGGGGTTACTATTTAAAAAAATTGTCAATGACGTCACTGCCCAAAAATGGGAAGTGGGGGAAAATTTAATTCTATTTAAAAAATTGCGCTTTGAGTGAACAAAATTGACCTGTCCGAGCATTTTTTCGAAAAACCAACTACTTCCATTATAATGAATTTATTCCTTTCATTTGAACCATACTGTATGAATATCCTATTGATTTCAATGACATGTATATTAATGCCAAAAAAAACAATTGAAAACCAATTTATTAAAAATAAATAAAAATTAATAAAAATTAATAAAAATTAATAAAAATTAATAAAAATTAATAAAAATTAATAAAAATTAATAAAAATTAATAAAAATTAATAAAAATTAATAAAAATTAATAAAAATTAATAAAAATTAATAAAAATTAATAAAAATTAATAAAAATTAATAAAAATTAATTATTAAAAATTAATTATTAAAAATTAATTATTAAAAATTAATTATTAAAAATTAATTATTAAAAATTAATTATTAAAAATTAATTATTAAAAATTAATTATTAAAAATTAATTATTAAAAATTAATGAAAATTAATAAAAATTAATAAAAATTAATAAAAATTTATAAAAATTAATAAAAATTAATAAAAATTAATAAAAATTAATAAAAATTAATAAAAATTAATAAAAATTAATAAAAATTAATAAAAATTAATAAAAATTAATAAAAATTAATAAAAATTAATAAAAATTAATAAAAATTAATAAAAATTAATTATTAAAAATTAATTATTAAAAATTAATTATTAAAAATTAATTATTAAAAATTAATTATTAAAAATTAATTATTAAAAATTAATGAAAATTAATAAAAATTAATAAAAATTAATAAAAATTTATAAAAATTAATAAAAATTAATAAAAATTAATAAAAATTAATAAAAATTAATAAAAATTAATAAAAATTAATAAAAATTAATAAAAATTAATAAAAATTAATAAAAATTAATAAAAATTAATAAAAATTAATAAAAATTAATAAAAATTAATAAAAATTAATAAACATTAATAAAAATTAATAAAAATTAATAAAAATTAATAAAAATTAATTAAAATTAATCAAAATTAATCAAAATTAATAAAAATTAATAAAATTAACAAAAATTAATAAAAATTACAAAAAATTAACAAAAATTAATAAAAATTAATAAAAAGTAATGAAACTTAATAAAAATGAATAAAAATGAATAGAAATGAATACAAATGAATAAAAATTTAAAAAAAAATGAATAGATATGAATAAATATAAAAAAATGAAAAAAATAAAAAAAATAAAAAAAATTAATGAAAATCAATAAAACTACCAAAAAAGGAAGTCATGTATTTTTTTATATTAATAACACGACAATATGCGAGCAAAGCCGCGGGCAATAGCTAGTATATAGATAAACCAACAAAACACAAAATTTGGTACTAAACAAAAACACATATCCATTTTTTTTAAGCAGTGTTATATTATTTTGTAGTTTGTGATTGGTTGATTTCATAAGAATGTAAACATTCTTCCAACTAGTGGAAGAATGTATATCATACTTAAACTAAAAATGTATCAAGAATCAACATAGTCGTGGAGAAAAACAATTAATGTTGAGTCCTACGCTAATTTACATTATGTTTCATTAAAATGACTCATTGACATTATTTTAAATTACTTTATCCCAAAAACTAAACATAATAAACACCCTGCGAAGTCCATTTTTCAAATAACTGAAATCGTTAGACTAAAAACATCAACATTTTACTCGCTTTCAGATATTATTTATCAAACAATCATCCATCATACTATATCACTTGACAGGGACAAAAGAAGTAATGCTCTTTGTGTCATATCTACGAGTATAATAAAATAATCCCTTATATATATTTTCTATCTCTTTTACAAAAGGAACATCAAATTAATAAACTATTTCAATTCGTAAACCAACCCTCATGCGGGTAAAGATAAAAATATATATATTCGACAAATAACCGTTATTTCGTTATTATCATTTTAAGTTTTTTTAAGGTCGTCCACGCCTACACGCCTATTGAATCAGATGAACTTGACCTTAGATCCGGTGATTACGTTTTTGTGAGTTCAGAAGCCGTGGTTAATTCTCTAGACGGGTGGGTTGAGGGTACGTCTTGGTTGACAGGACAGTCAGGGCTTTTACCGATATCATATACGGAACGGACTGCGGAATCTGATTCTTGGACGCTTCATAAAAAGGTGAGTAGTTTTATTATTGTTATTTACAAAAAAAATTTGTTAAAAACGCTTAGATATTTCGCTTTTTATTTAGATATAATAATTCATGAAAGTGCAGTGCTATTATAGAGTTATTTGTATAATCTACTAGCGGACAATTTGAAAGTTATGTCAATGTATTTAAAAAAAAAAGTTTTCAAAGTACCTATAAATAATTTGTTAGTTTTTTCTTCCAGATATAAGTACCTAAGTTTTCTTTGTAACTTTTTGTTATTCTTGGATATAATAACTAATACTTTTATATACCTACTTTCATATTAACAGAAAATTAAAACAAAAAAAAAACAAGACTTACTCCTTATTAATGTATTTAGAGAAATTTGTATTATCTAAATAAATTGTGAACTGTGGAATTAAAACTTGAAATTGAATTAACATAAAATAAACTTTATTAAAATTAATTAAAGATTGACTGGCCAGTTGGTTTTGAAACATGTGCCAAACAGAAATACATACACACACAATCACATATTTTTTTTACATTATTATTATTTTTTTGTCATCTGTATTAACTACTTAGGTTATTAGCCTCGTATTCTGGCAAGGCTTTGTTACTGTTTCCCAGCGCCACGTATTCTTGTCTGATATAGTTTGTACCTTAGAATTTGGTATCGCGTTAATGCATATTCGACGGGTTTTATTTTTTGTGTAGTATATTAGATACATTAGTAGTTATTTATGTATCAAGGGCGTAAAACAGGCGTTTATGGACCGCAACGTGTAAGTAAGATCCCGAGGCGCTAGACGAGGGCTATTAACACGTAAGGTCCATAAACGCAGTTTACGCCCAAAATACGTACAAAATTTTATGCACGACCCTTTTAATGATAATTTATTAACAAATATACAGGATGTTCCCTTAGTGCGTAATTGTGCAATATTTCAATTTGTGTTATAGACACGTAAAAAAGTGTTAAATAAAAGTTATGTGGATTTGAAAGATACATATTTAAAAAATATTTTTTGGGTATACAGGGTGGTGCATTTTTTCCTGGTAAATAAAAATTTGTTTTTTAAATAGAACACCCTGTATTTTATTTTATTTTTAGAATGGTTTGGTAATAAATTTTTTCAAATGTAACACCCTATATATTATTTTAATATAAAATTCCTTATAAATTTACCTATCCAATACCAATATTTTAGTCAATAACACATATACAGGGTGTCCCATCAGTGCGTGATTGATCGATAGCTATTTTATTATTGGAAATACAAAAAAAAATTATATAAAAGTTTTATGACTATGATAAATATTCTAAAATAAAGATGGTGGTCTATAAACGAGTGGCTGACCAAACTTAATACTTTTTAAAGCACCTGTAGGTAATTATACATATTTAATTATTTGATTGTTTTCACATCGTCAAATAATTTTAATAGACTTCATTTATTTGCTTTCTTATACAGTATGTCCCCCTAAGTTGGAATCATATGAGAAAACTTTTTTACTATTAATTTTCGGAAAAAAAGTTATTCTTCATAAAAACTTCTGCATGATCTAAAACCTAGAATTCATATTTTTTGACAAACCTCGTATACGGCTTGAAAAATTTGATATCTGATGACTGTATTTTTGGTCATGCAGGACTTTTTATCAAGAATAACTTTTTTCCTATAATCAATAATATTTTTTTTTTATTTGGTTCCAACTTAAGTAGACACACTGTATATAGGGTGTGTCAAAATGCGGGATAACGATTTTCTCAATTTTTGAATGGAGTACCCTATATGTTATACCATCAATTAATTAATACTTAGATGCGCTTTTATGTTTAAAAAATATAAAACTGTACTATGTTAAATATAAACATTTAAAAAAAAATGAATCATGATATTTAAAAAAAAAATACAGATATAATAAATAATAATAAATAAAAAAAAAAACGAAAAACAAAGCAAAAAAAAAACAAAAAAGAAATATATATAATGGAATTCGTCACCTAAAATACATATAATTATCTATAATTAATTGTAACACAATTATTTTAACTCTTGTTTAATTGTTATTATGATGTAAATTTTGTACTTTTAATAGACTTTTAAGTTCCTTCATTATTAATTATTGTATTTTTGTGATTTGTGAAAATTGTAAATAAGTTTAGATTCGTTTTAACAACATTAACTCTGGCCAATTGATCTGAGATTAGGGCCATCATACAAAACACACATACAATTAATATAAAGTATTCCGTTTAGAAAATTTAAAAAATCGTAACCTCACATTTTGACACACCCTATATACAACATAGCAAATGAATGAAGTCAATTAAAATTGTGTGACGATGTGAAAACAATCAAATATGTATAATTACCTACAGGATATTTTGCTTTAAAAATGTGTAGATTTGGTCAGCACCTCGTTATGGACCACCCTGTATGTTTAAGAATAATTGTTAAATATGGTCATACAACTTTTATATTAAAAATTTCTTCGTATTTCTAATAATCGCTATCGATTAATTAGGCTAACATATTGGTATCGTTGTACAGGCAAATTTATAGGGAATTTTATGTCAAAATAATATACAGGATGTTGCATTTAAGTAAATTGAACTTAACATTAGCCATATTTAAGACATATAATTTTTAATTGAAATTTTTTTATCTATAACACAAATTGATATATTGAACAATTACGCACTAATGGGGCACCCTGTATAAACTTTATGTACGACCGTTTTAATGATCGTTTATTAATAAATAACTGTAATTTTCTCTTTTCCGCCTTTTGTGAGCAGGTTTTTATAAAAGAAATTTACTTTACCGCCCCGCGTGGAGTAAAGTAGTTCGCGGGCGATAAAGGGACACTTTACTCCCGCTAAACGTTTTTATAATCTGGTATTTATCGCCCGGTCGTGCATAAAAGTTTATTAAAAAGTTAGGCATTAAAATATTTTTAAAAATGATAGTAAAATATTGGTCTCTTTATAAATTCAATAAAAACAATTGTAAAAGGATAATTATATTGTTACAATAGTGTCGTGCGAGCCATTTTCGATCAGTACGGTAATGGGGTCCATAACCCTTTAGTGAAATAATTCTCCACAATACCGAAAGTCTTTTTTAAAAAATTTATTTTACTTTTAAATTACAAAAAAAAATATTTCTACGATGTTAATCGCATAAAAGCTAACAATAATCTGGTTTTACATTATCATAAAACAACCGAACAAGTGTTGTAATCCGATACGGCACATAACTGAGTTTCTAAGGTATCAGCGTTATTCTTAGAATTCTAGGGTTGAATGGTGACATATTTCCTCCCCTCGAAGTTTCAAATCCAGAGAGTCAGCGAAGGATTTGAACCTCAGCAAGTTCTTGGGTTATTGACAATGCGTTCGATTACTTCTTCTTGACTATGGAATTTGACCTTTAAATTTTTCTTTTGGTATTTCCAGATTTCGTGACGGTGGAGTGCTGTATAGGGATGTTCATTTGTTGACAAGTAGAGGTTGGTGCCTCGAACATTTGTATTTCCAGATCGTTTGCAGAAGTATATTTTTGGTAATGTTTTCTTGCAATGGTCATATATACATTCAATCGTAGTACAACTTATTGATAACTAAATATTTATTTTCATGTAAAACTACCTTGAACTGACTCTTTTCAAGAAATTATTAGAACAAGTTATTGGAATGTGTAGAATTTTGGAAATTTGATATGTAACTAAATTATTATTATTTTTTTTTTTTATTTGTCAAATGTTTAATCATTAAGGTATTTTCTAATTTGTTAAATGTTATTGGATTTTCAATATCCTAGACTATGGAATAAATTATATTATACTAACCAATCGTTGACTAATAATATCTTTAATGTGCAGTGAATGTTCAGGTAATCTGTCTATAAATGAAGCAATATGATTTATTTGTTCCTGACAATAGTTAATTTTGAAAACTAAAAGTATTTTTGAGGGGGCGTTTTATATTATCCATGTGTATTTTGGGTTGAGTTTTAGTGGATACAGTTTTATTTTTTGTGCTTAATTTCTTTATGCGTGTTGCCTTGCGGAATTTGTTAGCAGTTTTCTGCCTTTTGTGATTTTTTACAATTTTTTTTTTGATTTTGCTCGAATATTTCCGGGGGATCTCGTGTTTTGTTTACGTTTTGTATGCGTTTTTCTTTCTCTTCGATTAGGTTTTCGTTAATTTTGGAGTATAGTAATTTTGAGCGTTCTCTATGATCATTTATGTAATCGTTTATGAGAACTTTGTCAAGATCTAAATTGAAAGGATCATTGGAACTTACGTGTCCGTTGATAATATCTATTGGTTTTAATTTTGTGACTGAATGTATTGAATGATTGTAGGCAAGGATAGCATAAATTATTTTAGTTGTAATAGGTGTTTTAAGAAAACCTCTTGTATTTAATAATCTAATGTGTTCAATAAGTGTTGAGTGAAATCTCTCGATACTACCGTTAGATTGAGGGTGATTGGGTGAACAGAAATGTACTTTAATTTTATGTAGTCCTAATAGTTCCGACATAACAGAATTTTTAAATTCTGTTCCATTATCAACTACAATTTGCGTGGGTACCCCATGATGTGAGAAAAAGGAAATAAGGTTATTAACGATTTCGGTGCTACAGAGTGCATTTATATGATAAATTTGAGCATATTTTGAAAAAGTATCAATGATAGTGAGAAATTTGTTATTTTCTATAGTGAAGGTATCTAAATGAATTATTTCGAATGGTTTCGTCGCCGTTGGTGTTACATTCATTTTGACTGTAACGGGGTGACGTTCGTACTTACTTTGTTGACAGATTTCACAATCGTTAATAAATGTTTGAATTGATAATTTCATAAACGGCCAATAATATTTATCTTTCATTCTTTGATATGTTTCATCAATTCCTCTATGATTGGATTTACCCTCGTGATAATTTTGAATTAATTCTTTCATAGTGGTTTTCTCGGTAATATCAATTAATTTTTTGTTACATTTTTTTAGTT